GTATATAGACTTGCCAATTTGCATTAATAGCTTGAAGAATCATTGAGAGCTACTAATTTTCTCAAATTATCAAGTAAATCAGTGAATGTAGTAGAAAGAATGGAGTATGAAATGTACGCTATTTGTTCAGCTTTAATTTCTCATTATAACTTTATATTATAGCAGTAAACATCTTGTAGTATACATTTGTAAAGATGATGAAATCTGAGTACTCTGTCCTCGCTACAAATACCCTGATGAAATCATTGTTTGAAAATAAATGTTATATATCATTAAAAAATTTATTTTTCAGATGATGCGCAACATATAAACATACAGACGTAACATGATTACACAGCTGGGCTTTCAGAAAAAGCAAAATAAAGTGCATTTCTCCTTTTCCAGGTCACATTCGTGTGCCACAGTCGCTATTTTTACTTTAATTCTGGACCGTGTTTATACAGTATGGGATTATAAACTGAAGGAATATTTATTGAAATAAAGATTCTCCACTCCTGGCCCAATAAACTCTCTGTATCCCATTCCACATGCTAAATCAAGCTGGGGAGAGGTCGGTCGTCTTTGCAATACGTCCATGGAGAATTAACCACAATGTGGATTCGGTAGAAAACACACTGGGGTAGTGGAACAGAAGTCTAGGGAAAAACGTGTTTTTTTCCATTTGCAGAGATCTGGGATCTTGAGCTTTGAAATATTTCTAGAAGCAGAACAGAGAAACCAAGTATAGGCATATAGCTCTTTGAAACTCAAAGATGAGAAACTGGGAAGCGGCTTCTAGATTAAAAAAAGTACAGGAAACAAAGGGAAGGTCATGCTTTTGTTGTGGGCATTTCCATTTGACGGCAGGACTGTCTGTGAGAGACAAGAACTTGCTGTGTAGGAGACGGACAGACAGACCCATCATAGAAACTGTGCAGGGTGGGAGGAGGCGTGGAAGTCCTGGGTCCAGGGGACAAAGGAAGAGCTCCAGCTGGGCTAACAGGTAATCCCACTGGGTAGGGCTCTGCCAAGGGAGAGCGGTAATATTTGGAATCCTAAAATAGTTTTCTCACCAAGAGCCAGAAGTGTTGAGGTCAGGAACACTGCGTTTGGAAGCTCTGAAACCAGTTCTTCACCGAGAAAGCAGAGTTCACCAGTGGAAAAAATTGAGCTTGACCTTGCCATGGGGGAGAAATTCAGGGGAAGCTTTTTCAATGTGTCTGATGTAGGCAGTTTTGCGTATAGAAATGAGCATGCTGTTGCAATTTCCAAAGTAAGCCAGACTTTAAGAGAATATATATGGTAGTTTTAAACTTTAAATAAAGCTTGAGGAGAAAAAAACCCCAATGATTTTATGTGCAAGGATCTCTTTACACCTGATAGCTGTATGGTCATCTCACGTGAGGAGGATACCCTTGATATAAGGATATCTGGATCTCTGTGTGGAAAAGCATTTAGTACTTCTTGGTACTAAGTGGTCACGAAGTCATATATGTATTGTTTATGGTCTCCTAATCCAGGATTTATTGTCCTGATCCTGCTCCAGAAATAGGGACTTGAGTTGATTAAAAAAATAAAAAAAATTTCTTCAAAGCTTTTAAGCAAATTGATTTGCTCTGGCTTGAAAATTCTCATATTCCCCAAATTTATGTTAGTCGGCATGATCCTTGTATTCATCCATGTAATAGTTGGTTCTAGAAGGATTTTACAAATGGCATGTATTACCATTTTAAAAAGTGCTACATTAGACTTGAATATTAAAATACTGATGGGGCAGGTGGAAAATTACTATTAGTTATACCTAATAGGTTGCCATTTTGTTTTTTTCCGGAGCGGGAAGAAAAACTGAAGCAGCGAGCCAACTCGGTTACCTGCAGCTTTCTCTGCTGTTCCATACAAGTGCAATCAAAACCAAAGCAAGCTGTTCATAATTCCCACTGCCAGCTCAGTCCCTCTGCCTGGCACTCCCCTGTCCTTCTGCACCTTCCGAATTGCACGCTGAACAGCATCCCTTCGTTTTACATAATCACAGAATGGTGGGGGTTGGAAGGCCCCTCTGAAGATCATCTGGTCCAACCCCCCGGCCAAGGCAGGATCACCCAGGGCAGGTTGCACAGGAACGCGTCCAGTCAGGTTTTGAAGGTCTCCAGAGAAGGAGATTCCACAACCTCTCTGGGCAGCCTGTTCCGGTGCTCCGTCACCCCCACAGTAAAGAAGTATTTCCTCATGCTGAGGTGGAACTTCCTGTGCTGCAGTTTGTGCCCATCGCCCCTTGTGCTATCACTGGGCACTGCTGAAAAGAGACTGGCTCCATCCGCTCAGCCACCCTTCAGGTATTTATAGACATTGATAAGGTCCACTCTCAGCCTTCTCTTCTCCAGACTCAACAGCCCCAGGTCTCTTGGCCTTTCCTCATACGAGAAATGTTCTGGTCCCTTAATCATCCTCGTCGCCCTCTGTTGGACCCTCTCCAAAAGTTCCCCGTCTCTCTTGAACTGGACAGCCCAGAACTGGACACAATACTCCAGATGAGGCCTCACCAGCACAGAGCAGAGGGGAAGGATAACCTCTCTTGACCTGCTGGACACACTCTTCTTAATGCACCCCAGCATACCACTGGCCCTCTTGGCCACCAGGACACATTGCTGTCCCATGGGTAACATTGCCTACCAGGACTCCCAGGTCCTTCTCCACGGAGCTGCTTTCCAGCAGGTCAACCCCTAACCTGTACTGGTGCATGGAGTGATTGTTCCCCAGGTGCAGAACTCTACACTTGTTAAATGTCATGAGGTTCCCCTCTGATGTAATGAGGTCTCCTATCTCCCCCTGTTAGGGAGTTGGCCGCAGGGCAGCCAGGAGACCAGCCCCAGGGTGGACCTGGAAGAGGCTTACTCCTTTGCCGGGTTTGTGCTTCCAGTTTGCTGCCTGGTTTTAGTAGTCATGTGGGAGGAGGGAAACTGCCCGTCAAAACGCGATGCAGACAGACCTTACTGTTAAGTTGCTTTTCACGGCGTCTACCCTCAATTTTCTCTCCAGCAACCTTAGTAAACTATGTGCTTCTCTTTTTGTTTTAGTCATCGTGAACATGCAGAAGAGACCTTTACCCTCTTCATCTAAGACCCTTATCTTGTTTTCCTTCAGTTTTCCCTTTCCAGGCACTTACTAGTCTTTTCTCAAAGAAAAATAGCTTCCCCAGGGAGATATATTTTTACGCTAGTGCAACGATTGTCTTTATTACAGCAAAATGAGCTCATTGACCAGTGGCCTTCTGGTAGACCACTGTGACCTTCAGGTACTTTACTGCAAAATTCTTCTCTAACTTGTCATTCCCTGTTTGTATAATTTTTTTTTTTTTTTTTCCCCTGCAATAGTGGAGAAACTTGTACGTGCCCTTACTAAATTATGCTTCCAGCTCTTGTCTCCAGGGTAGCAGGAACCTTTCAAATTATGATCCTGTTCTGTGGCGTGCTTGCAGGCCATCTTGTTCACACTGTCTGTAACGGTAACGAGTACTATATACCACCCTTCAAGTCATTACTGAGAACAGGGGGTAATACCTGCCGAAGACGGACCTCTGCACAAAGCTGTTCAAAACACATCCCACGGTTTTGGCGTTGAACTGCTGCTAAGTGTTCTCTGGGAGCCATTTTTTAATTGCATGTCCCAAGATTGTTGATGGAAATGCTAGAATATCATGCAAAATGGTATTAAAAAACTTGCTACAACTTATATGACGTATAGCATATGATATGCACAATGTAAATGGCATTTATTGCCTGAGCAATCTTCTACGTTTGTAAATTGGAGGGGGGTTGTAGAGACATCAGTTCTGCAATCAACTGTATTACCTAGTCACTGAAAAAAAGAGATTTCATTTCATTAGGCAATTACTGGACTGTTTCCATGGCAAGTTTGCTAGAAAGAACAACATTGCCTTCTCTGAAACAAGGTTCTTCGTTATCACGGTATTTGCATTAATTCTAACCGCTTCTGTAAATGCACAAGCTTATTGTTCATTGTGACAGCATTCAAGATTAAAAAAAAAAATTGCACGTTGGAAGTCTGGTTTATGGTTTATGTTCTAGCTAAAAGTCCCATTCCAAGACGGAAGAACATTTTCAGGAGTATAGGTGATTACGTTGTCGTATGTTACATGGTAATCTACAGAATGTTGAAGAATTTTCTAAGGCCTTTTTAACAAGCTTAAAAGCTCTTAGAAGAAAGTTATTAATCAGGCAGACAGCTCACTTCCATGCCTTTATTTCATAAGGATTTTGTGGCTAATTAATAAATATTGTTTGCTTTAAAGTATTTTAGTTGGGAGAAAGGACTTGTGTTCCTAATGAATTTGCCTGTAGTTTGATTAACTTAGAAGAATCTTTTTTAAATTACTGTATTATCCAGAGCAGATTCTTTCAAGGACTCTAGGATGTTTTAATGAATGTTTATAATTAAATGATAGATGAACTTAACGGTATGATCAGAAATGCAGTTGTTACTTTGCAAGGTTGAGTTCCTTTATGTTTGATGAGCTGCAATGTTTTATGTATCACAAGATTTTATGTAGTATGTTAAGCCTTTGTCATCCCTACTCAGCTTGTCATGAGATATGGACTTCATGGTCTCCGGGGAGGATGTCTTTGGTTAAGTTAATGTAATAATGGAGGAAACTCTTGCTTTCCTGTCATCTTCCATTAAACCTCATTGCCAGTTTTACAGTCCCTGAGCATTATCAGCAAGGAATAGCTGTATTAATAATTAGTGTGTCCATTGCTTCCCTAAAACGTGTGTCAAAAGCAAAAGAGTGTGAAAGTGTGTAGAGTTTTGTGGGTTTAAATGGCATTAAACATCATCATATTAAGTTAAAAAACACAAAGTTGTTTTACTTATGTACTTCAAACATTTCAGTTAAAAAAGCACAAATGCCTTTTTAGCCGTATATTTATTTGGGATTCATTATTGTTGGTGTATTCTGTTTCCTCGTTACGATACTTCAATATTTTCACATGTGTTCTTCCTAGAATGGCTTTACTCCTTTATATATGGCGGCTCAAGAGAACCACATTGAAGTGGTGAAATATCTCCTGGAGAATGGAGCCAACCAAAGCACAGCTACTGAGGTGAGGTATATTGTTCTTTTTTTACCAATGCTCTTATTTTCCTTTGCCTTTGTATTCAGATCGCTTAAATACAGCAGATTTTTCAAACAGAGTGTTTTGAGAACTTTCACACTTTCATCTCAATAAGCTGTACTTACGAATCTTGCCCTTTTTTGCTACGTGCACAGAAGACAAGTTCTGGAAGTGGTGAAAAGCCAAGGGATGAAATCCAGTCTGATTCATTTGACAGCAAAATTTCCACGGACTTTAGTGAGCCCAGGATTTTCACCTTCAGTTTGTGCCCGTTTCTCCTATCAGCTTCCTGGAGAACTTTCCGAAAAACAAAGGAGGCTTGGAAGAGAGGTCCCTGGGGCTGTAGAAATTATAGGAGGCCAAGGTGGTATTGTCAGGGGAATGGAGTGAATAGTAAATCGATGGAAGGCTAAGCGGAGAGGTACAACATGGCATTTGAACAAATTTACGTCTCTGACAAAGCCCATAAAAATCCAAGCATCTAGGAGTGCCATCACCTGAGCGACAGGGCTAACTTTGTGATGCTTTTTCATTTGCACTGTAAGACCTGGGCAAAAATTGGTGAATAGACTATTGTAGCATGTATCTGTATCAATAAGGGGGCTTCTGGGGAAGGTAGTTTGGAGGTTTGCTTCAGCTTCTTCCTTAGCCAGCTGAAAAGTGTGTGGAACGTGGTGTGAATACCATAATCAGGACTGTGAGGACTGTGTCCAGAAGGGTGTCTTTGTACAGTGTAAAACGGTATAAAGACAACTAGTCTTGTTGACGGGCTTCCTTTTAGATTGGGTCTGTTTTCTCCTAGATGCTTTATATCTACTGCTGGATTGCCTGGGCACAAGTATGCAGAAGGATGGTATTAATTGCTAGGTTCTGGATGTAACTGCAGTGCTGTAAACCTGCAGTAACCTCAGCGCAAGCAGGGCAGACGCCAAAAAAAGAGAGACAAGACTCCATCTCAAGAGGAACTTGGATCATAAGAACTTCCTTCTGCAAATGAGAGGTTTTGAGGGCCATGGGGAAAACTCCTAGGTCATGAGGACTCTGTTCATTCTATTTCCTCCTCTTGTTCTCCTTCTGCCAAATGTTCTTTTATTCCAAGCCGAGGGGACGAGTTGAATGGGCTCTGTGCTGCGAAGCGTGTTGGCTTCGTGTTTCTTCTATGGATGTGGACGTGCCCTGTGAAGTAGCAATAGGAACGTTCCTCTCCTGTCAGAGCTTTTCCTCGTGTCCCTTACTTTTCCTTGGTCTGTACACAGAGTTAGCCGTTCTGGATTGCGTTCGCAAAGGGATGAATTTGAACCGATGGTGCATCTATGCTCGCTGTCCTTTCCTTTAAACCGGACTGCGAGTGTTAACAGCTGCTCTGCGGTCCCTTCTTTCAATGGGTACTGTACCGTTTGATGACAGCTCCTAAAATAATCCTCTCGTGGCCTGCATATATGGCGATCACATTACATGTCAGCCTTCTGAAATATGAAATCCCGTGTGATTGCCAGGCAACGTAGCAGAAACACACTCCTTGTGAAGGAGCCGAGCGGAGTTGTGGCTCTCCAGGAGCCCGGGCCGGCTACAGCCCGCAGTCACCTGCTTGCAGCCTTTCTCCCAGTGATATTTACTGGCTGTGGTGATCCGGAGCACTGGAAATACATTCGTTAGTTTACAGGAACTGTGAGACTGAGATGGTTATAATTAATGTGGTCTCTGCTTGAATGCAGACACCCAGGCATCACTGGAACTCACAGTATAGTCTGGTTTTGTGGGGGTTTTTTTGTTGTTTTTTTTTTTTTTAAAAGAGGGCTGGGGGGAAATCAAATGCCCCCGACTCTGAACCCAAGTCCAAGTCTGTCTTCTGCCATCAGAAAGGTCAGCTCTCACTTTTGTAGCTTGGAAGGTAAAGGCTGTCTACTCCTTTAGCACTTACCTAGGTAAGTTTTGCTTTCAGGTCTTGCTGATGTGGCGGTGGTTTCAGCGGTTCAAGCGTTACTGAAGGATGGCTTGAGCCACTGCCCACTTTCACATGTGCCCAGAGTTAGTCTCGTGAACAGAAGGAAGAAATGGTACATTAAATAAGGTAGGATGGCAGCCTGAACTGAGGATGCCACTGAAATACATGGAGAAAGACCTTCTGCTTGGCATCAGAGATTGGCTGTCCTCATGCGTGGAGGTGGGGAAACAAAACGCTTTCTCCGAGATCCGGTCAGCCATGCTTTCCAGAAGCACAGGAGAGGGAATGCAGAAAGAGTTGTGTCCTTTTAGAGAAGGATGGAAGATAAAGTGGTGCAAATCAGATGGATGATCTCGTCTCTGAAGCTTTGAAACCTGCACTGCTTTTGAATATATTTTGTTTCTTCTAACGCTTATATACGTATGTATACAAAATGAGAGCAAGGGTGAGCTCAGTTTCACAGGGCCTCTAATCCAGGATTTGTTCTCATGTTCCCAGAGGCAAAAGGCAAATGTATTAAGCCATTTCAACACCTAATGTAGCCCCAATCTCAGAATTATCTTTACAGTTCAGCTGTTTCGTCAGCTGTTCAGGCTTTTTTAATTCACTGTACAGAATTTAATCTCTATTACAGAAAGAAACCATAGCAGTATCGCTGTTACAATGCACCTACCCACAGTTCTACGCAAAAGGGAGTGAATGTTATTAGATTACTAAGGGGAAAAATTGCTTTGGCAATTCTTCAGATGTTTCTTTCGGCATATGTTCGCTCTCATTCCTTCCGAACTTGCCCTTTATTATTTTATCATCTTTCCATATTCCTATTCCAAATGCTGTCGTTCCTATGCCTTTTACCACGTGTCTAAGTCAGTTTTCTCACTTTCTGGCTATAATCAGCTCTTTAGTTGTTCCTTCTGACCTAGACGTAGAAGACCTTGTTTTATTGCCCTCCCTTTTCTTTTGTTGTTACTCACCATGCCTCCGGTCATGGAGTTGGTTAGAGAGCTGCTCTGTTCCTTGTGGTTCAGCTGCCCTCTGATCTAGCATGTGGTTACAGCACATATGCGCTTGGGCAGCATGCAAGACTGGACCTAGATTCAGTTTTATAGTCAGAATAAAAGATACGGGAGCAGGCAGTACTTGAGGTGAGACAGCAAGCTGTGATGCATTTTAAAGCCTTGGCAATCAGGGACACGTGTGGAAGAGCAAGACAATTTGAAAATAGTTTTAGAACACAGATTTTTCTGACTTTGTTTTTCCAAAAAGTACAAAAAAGCTAAGGTTTTCCTTCTCCAAATTAGAATAAATTCCTAAACATGATCTGGCTTTCTTGACTCATAGTCCATATGTAGCTTAGAATGCGAAACAGCAGCAAATGCATCTGAAGATATGCTTTCTTTTTCCAGAGACATCAGATATTCAGAAACAGGTTCGCTGTGTGTTTTTCAGATCTGCTTTGTTCAGTTCTCACTAATCCTTACCAAAATATTGCTAAAAATATGCTTTGTGGTCCATTTTAAGATGAGAATTAAGAGAGAGATTGTAAAATGATTGTTTGCTTGTACTTGACTGAAAAAAAGTCTACTTTGAAGTGGAAAAAGTGTGCTTTTGACATGTTTGAAATCATACCTGGGTTAAAACCGTTGTGCCTCCAATGTCATTGCACTGGAGACGGTGGTGCAGAGGTAGAAAACAGCTGGTAATGTACTTACCAAATATCTATGTCTGAACAGCGCTGTGCAAATCACTGAAGCTGTACATCCTTCAGCTTACTTGAGCACATCTTGTCTTCTGCTCTACCAGGATGGTTTCACTCCTCTAGCTGTTGCGCTGCAACAAGGACACAACCAGGCGGTGGCCATCCTCCTGGAAAACGACACCAAGGGGAAAGTGAGATTGCCAGCTCTGCATATTGCCGCCCGAAAAGACGACACCAAATCAGCGGCGCTCCTACTGCAGAACGACCATAATGCCGACGTGCAGTCCAAGGTAACATGATGCTGCCGTTAGAGGTAACGGTGCCGACGGGCAACAAACTTTACTTCCTTCGTCTTAATGGTTAAAGGTAATTTCTTCTGTGGGGAAAGACAAGTTGCTCGACCAGTATCACCAGTAATATATCTACTTTTGCAGTGTTTAGCTACACAACTCATTTTTCTGCTTTTTAATTATACCTCCCATTTCTTTGGTAACCAGCTTTCTCTCATTATTTGTAAATTAGAAGACACCGGGATGGAAGCAGGGTCACTGCTTCCCTATTAAATAGGATACTGGTTTATTGCCCATGGGAACACAGGTTGTATTTAAAGTTAATGCATGCTTGAATGGCTTTTCCCGTAATTAACAGCATAACTCATTTCAAAAAGCAACATAGTTCTTCGTTTTGCGGCCAGTCTTTAATATTGTTCCTCTTTTTCCCAAACCATGCTGCATCAGATGATGGTGAATAGGACGACTGAGGTACCGAGAATAAAAATTTTTAATTACTCTTTCTGTTACTTATAATTATTTTCTCTGCTTTGTGGCAATATTTCTTTATTATTTAGCACTAAAAGTGAAGATATGACTCTTTTTTTAATACACAGAAATTAGTGACTCAGCAAACCTATTTTTATTCATCCTTTGTCTTAGAATCTCTTTTTATTTGTGCTACTATTAAAGTAAACTTTTGAGAATTCACATCAGTTCAACGAAGTCTGAAGCGAGTAATGGAGCTAAGAGGATAAAGATGCTTTTCTAGCTCAGTTTCATTAATTATGAAAATGCACTCACTTGGCATAACTAAATTAAGGTGTCTGGCTCAGCCAGAATCATGGTAAAATTCATTTTCCTTCTTTTACAATAATAAACGTAATCAAATCCTCCAAGGTAAAGACTTGTTCAGAGCATCTGCTTATTTTTACCTTTGTTCTTGTTATCATCTTTCCAATAAAGTTTTGAGAAGTCCTTAAGGGATAGCACATAATCAGAATTTACCTGCAGCAGATAATACTACATTTCTCATACGGATTCTAGAAATAGCAACTCTCCAAGCTCTTTCACTAAAAATCCTGGGTCTGATTGGCTAGAGCGGTGACTTCTCCCTTGAAAGATTGTTGTCGCGTTTAGGAGAAAGCATCGTTTCCAAGAATGCGGTCTTTATTTGAGCGCCTGCTTTTAAATAATAGAGTTCTGCGGTTAGACGAGGGAATGAATTTTGAACGCACGCACCCGTGGGAAAGCGCTTCGCGCTTGGCTGCGCGCGCACGCGAGCGAGTTGCCGTGAGGCAGCCGGCGACGTGAATTGAAAGGGTGACAGCTTCTCTCCGGCACCTGCCCACGGGCACGTCCTTCACTAGGATAAATGTGAAGAGGGTTACCTCTCCTTCACCGGCCGGTACGGTACTTCTCGGTACCTGGCATTTGTCACCAGCCAAACGTGTCCACAAGTGAGGTAGTTGTTAACGCAGTACGCATTCAACCTATAGCTTGACGCAGTATCGTATTTGTGTGCCCAATATCCTCAGCAGACATTTCCCTGGGAATTTATCACCGCAAGAACACTACGAATGTAGTGACTGTTTGAGTGTACTTTGACCAGGACCACCTATGGGCTGACAAGGGAGTAAATGGAATTAGGGTAAAATAGGGGCCGGTTGCTGTATCTTTTGGGAATAAAGCTGATTTCAGAGTGCAACATCCGCCTAAATTTCTTTATTCCATGGGCAGTTTACAATGATGATTTGTACACTGAAAGAAGTGATACCTAGTTGAAAGCATGGTATAGTCTAGAAGCCACAAGTATTTCTCTCTTTCTATAACTAACAGGATGAGCTGATCAAATCGGTGTAAAGCTCTTCAGGGAAAGCTCAAAAGCAAGGTCCTTTCTACTTGAATTACTTATGAGGCTAAAAGCTTGCTCTGTGTCCTAGTTTCTGGCAAATTAATCTTTTTTTTATGCTGTTGTCAAGCAGGTCTGTATCTCGTAGCTGGAGCAGGTTTCATGTTCTAGCATTCAAGATGCAATAGTTATTTGTGGTTTTTTTGTATAGATGGCAAAGTTTCTTCAGATCTTTTGAGATCCAATAAATACAAATAATTATGATTCTTACACTATGCTACTAGGTAGTTTCTCGTGTACACCAAATTCTTGGCTTACATATTGATTACCCACTGCTTTTTCGAAAAAAAAACCCACAAAACACCCATGAAGGACATATGTTGTCAATGTTTCTAATTCTAAGGGCAGTAAAATAAGAGTCCCAACAACTTCTGTGGTCGTTTGTCCAAAACCAGTAAACAGATGCAGCCTAAAAGACCCATGTTGCTTCCAAATTGTAATGAGGAAACTTTCTTTATTTTCTTTAAGAATGGCTAATATATTAATGTTTTCTATGATGAAAGATACTCTTCTTATTGGCCACTGATTCAGAAGACTGAATTGGAGAATGGAAGAGTGAAGCACTTTTGATAACCTCTCATATTGAAAGCTGCCCTCTCTGCCTGAAAGGCCGTGCTATAGATGTGTTATAGATGAACTGGATAAAATCGACACGATACATTTGTTTGCCAGCAGCTTTTAAAATCAAGTTCTAGTTAAGTCGATTATCTGGTATATAAATGATTTCTATAATAAGGGCTGTTTCCCTTTGTAGAGTGGCTTTACACCTTTGCACATAGCCGCGCACTATGGAAATGTCAATGTGGCAACGCTTCTGCTAAACCGAGGAGCCGCAGTCGATTTCACAGCAAGGGTACGGAGTAATTTCTTCCTTTTCTTAGCTGTAATGGCCTACAAAAGTGGGAGTATTTCTTTGTGTAATTCTTAGTCAGGAGTAAGTGAGGAGCAAAGTAACGCTGAAATTCGGTTGTGTTCAAAGACCTTTTTTTTGGCAGTAGTTCTTGAAGGTTGGCTCCCTGCAATGCTCCAGAGTCCTTAGTTGTTGAGGAACGACCAGTATTCCCAGCTGAAGGGAACAGGCTCCTCTGACTAGCTCCAGAGAGCTGATATGCTCATAATGTGTCAACTCACTTCAGCTTTTCTGTCAGTTAGACATACTCTAGAAATACATGTAGGATTTATTGGCTTATTCAGTATTTACTATACTACTTTAATTTGATTTTTTCACATATAAACGTATTTTGAAAGAGGCAAACATATTGTCATTATATGAATGCAACAATAAAAGTTCTAATTAATCATGACTCCTCTTTTATGGTAAACAACTGCAGAGCTACATAATATAGTCTCTTTGCTGTTGTACGTCACGTAGTTTGAAGCACGGCGGCTGGTGCCGTGAAAACCTTTGGCAATCTGTGCCTTAACAGAGCTACCAGATCACAAGTTTTCCACTTAATTTTGCCAGACAGACTTTGAATTATTTTAGGGTTCTGCCTTTCAGACTGACCTTCTCCTGTTGCCAATCTGGAATAATTGCTAATATTACCTCTTTCCTTACCCAAAGCGTTGGCAAGGGCTTTCAGCCTAAACAGAACCTACTCCTTTACGCTGTCGGCATTACGCTAAGAAGGTTCCTTTGTGTAGGAGTCATGCGTTTGTGTACTCTCTGTACGTTGCAGTGGTTTGAACGCATCAGTGTTTTGTGAATATGGACTCGTTGGGACTCGGATATGTGTTTGTTTATTTGTCTGACTCTGGGACTGTCATGTTTGCTGCTTTGGCAGATGTGCTTCTTTGTTTATTAAACCCCCCCCCCCCCACAAAGATTCTTGCTTAGAAAGGGATTACTAACTCTAGCTTATATGGTGTGTGCCAGCTCTGATGCTCAAGTACATTTTTGTTTATTCTCTACAATGTGATGGTCTCATTTCCTGTGATCCCAACACAAATTCACCACCATTATAACACCTTCAAATCCATCATGCTCATTGTTTGTTCTTTTCATGGTGTAGAATGGAATCACCCCACTGCATGTGGCTTCCAAAAGGGGAAACACAAACATGGTGAAGCTCTTGTTGGATCGCGGAGGGCAGATCGATGCCAAAACCAGGGTGAGTCTTTCTATTCCCTGAATGTGATGTTGTCCCTTCTTGGGAATGGACTGGGATTTTTTGCTTGCTTGTTTTTGGTTTGGTTTTTTTAGTTGGTTTCTTTTTGTTTGTTTTGGGTTGTTTTTTTTTAAGCCAGAGACTGGGAACACCAAGATTCATAGCTAGGAATTGAGCTTCAGTAATTGTGTCTTGTTCTCTGTTCTTAGGCATTAGATGCAGCTGTTACAAATGACTCAAAAAAAAAAAAAAAAAAAAAAAAAAAATTCAGCTGAACACAGCTCCAAAAATGTTAAACATTGCCTCCTCGCAAGTGTCCTCTTTTTGAAACTTGGAGCAAATTTAAATTGTGACTGCAAAAATAATTTATAAAGAAATATTTTTGTACCTTTTTTTTTCTTTAAATTCAGTATCCTACCTTTAGTTTTCAGATTATTTGATTTATGTAGACTGTTTTCTATGGTATCAGACTAAAGAATGGCATGTGTTGGTGACCGTAGGAGGCAGAAATACTATTTCCTTTAGTCTCCTGTATAATCTACCGACATCATACCAGAAAAAGTTGATGAAAATGACCTTTTTGAGGAAATAAGCTTGTTAGTTGGTCCAACTTCACGTGATGCAAGAACATGGGTGCTACACTGGCATGGGAAGTGGAGAGTCTGGACTCAGCTAAGTCCCCTGACTCCTAACCTTCTGTGCCAGTCATAGTATGCCTCATGAAAACTGCGGTAGTGGGCTGGCAGTTTCTTTTTATTGAAGAGCCAGCACTGGGAACAAGTAACACTCGCCTCTTCTCCAGCCTAACCACAGAGAGTTAGGTGACTCTCACTGGCTTCCTCCTCCCCGTCGTCCTGGTGAAATGCCACGCCTATACTTTATTTAAGGGTGATTTTGCAATCATTCAGAACAAAAGAAAAACCCATCAATTTTTATATGGGCAAGGTTAATTATTTCAAATGGGGTTTTGGAGTCACCTAGGAAGATGTGGTCGTTTATGTGAACTGAACTACATGGGACCCGTTCTTGGAAGCTGCTGGTTTTGAAGCACTGATCTGCAAAATTATGTCTCCAAGTAATAGAGAGTGTTTTAGAACACAGAGTTTAGAGCTGGACATAAGAGTTTTTGTGTAATAAGGTAGAAAGGTAGAGGATATTTCATTCAACTGCCCTTGTGGTTGATTCAACCCCTGCTGTAACCTTGATATTAATTACATTTGCTGCTTCATAAGCCAGGAACGCAATCATGATTATCGTGTAACTCTATATGCGATTATGATTTCTGACTATTTACGAAATGATGTCTCTCTTGCCTTTTTTTTTTTTTTTTTTTTTTAAACTACTGATGGTGGAAAATGCTGCCTTTCATGAAGGTGTGCAGTAAATCATCCCTGGTCAAATTTTCCACAAGTGCCTAAAATCTCATGGTAAAGAGGCAGGAAACGGCAATAATAACCGCAGTCAGGATATTGCACATACTCATAAGCACAGTAGTCATACAGAAGTGGTCCATTTGGCCTGTGGAATGACGGTGCTGAATTCACCTATTTCCTGCTCAGTATTTAGATACTTGTTTTAGACAAGTTGGCAGAGGTGATTGTAAAGGACGTCTTGGATTTTAAGAGATCAAGGTGTATTCCCTTCCCCGCTCACCCGCAAAGCTTGATGTGCAGTTGTGAACAAAACGGAAAGAACAGGACTTTGCCCAACGTAGGTGGAAGGCGCTAATTTTAGAGTCTTCTCATTGTCTTGGCTTCCTGCCCTTTGTCAGCTGCTCCATTAGCTCAAAACCAGTCAGCACAAAGATACCAGTGAAAACCCATAAAGGTATCCAGCAGCACACGCATCCCAGCTTGCGCAAGCCCAGCAGCTTCCCCTTGCTTTCACCTTCTGCCTTCTCCCTGCTCAGAGGCACACGGTGATGGTCGCCTACGTGTACTTCACGGTGGGGGAGATTCCAGAGCTTTGGTTTTGCTGTCAGTGTCTCTGTGGCGTGACCTCGTCTTCGTGCCAGCTGTTTATATCGTCTCGGTGTCTTTTTCTTTTCCCTTTGCTTTGTCCGCATGCCTTGTGTGCTTTGCTATGGCCGTGAGTATGTAGGGTATTGAAGAGGTAGGTTGGGTGTTGCATGCCACGCGGACGTGTGTCTTGTACTTCAAAGGACAGACTGCCGCCTCCTTCACCTCAGTACTAACACGCTTGCCTTTCCATACTCGCCTTTTCATTTCTCCTGAGGAACACCTGCATTCCTCCAGTAGGTCAGGTTCACTGAAAAACTTTCACAAAAAGATTCACTGGAATCAAATGTACAAGGATATTTCATTGCCGGATAGCTTGGGCTTTTATTCTTGGTCTCCGAACCGCATCAAAATAAGCTCTTTGGTTAAAAAAGTACTCATTGCTTTCAGTCAGTTTATTTTTAACTTGTTTTATTACATGACATCTGATGATGCATAAATTAAGATGCAAAAACTTATTTTAACAGATTTTGGATGAGCCTCAGTACTTTAATCTTGCAGGGTTAATCTGTGAAATCTTTTTTATGTTTGAAAATATTCCATTGGAATGATCCATTACAAGCCCCTGTGTTGTCTAATAAAAATAAATTAAAATGTACGTTCTTCAAAGGGAGTAAATGATGCATGTGTCCTACTGTTCCATAGTTAATGTTGCATGTCAGAGGAGAGCCCTGCTTACTGCAGGAACTACGTGTTTTTATTTTCTATACATTTCATAATACATTTGCTGTAATTTTATGGCATTTCTCACTAAAGATGCAGAATTGCTGGTAAATCTGCTTGCTACACTTACATATTTTAAAGTAATACTTTACTTAAAATTTTTGGCAAGTTTTACCATTTTTTTCAACCAACTACTAAATAAGTTTTTTAAATGTGGAATTTAATTTTTCTTTTATGTTGCATCTAAAGCAAAAATGTAAACTTCATCCCCAGTGATGTTAATAGGATACTTTTATTAGCACTATCTGTTATATCTACGTTTGTGCTACTTTTATTTACATACAAGCCTTACTTAGAGTTTTGTTTGCTAAGTAAGAGAGACTATGCAAACCCCCTTAGAAGGGGGAGAGGAACACGTTCACTTCTCTCAGACGCTGAAGTTGTCACACATTTTGTGTTCTACCCATTGAATCTTGCCAACATTGAAATGAAATTTTGCTTGCTCTGGGACTTTCCTTTAGACTCCTCTTGCAGGCTCTTGCCCAGAGTATTTACAGTTGGAGGGAAAAAAAAAAAAGAGAATCCTTGGAGTGAAACAGAGCATCTAGTCTTGGAATGGAAAGCTTATTGTGTGGGAAAGTAAACATCGTGTGCCTGGAGCGTGGCCGCTGGAGCTGGAGAGGGGAGCAGACGTGATAATGGTGGGGAGAAAGGCTGGCATGCCAGTTGGGTTGGAGAAGGGCCACAGGAAAGAAAGGAGACTCAGCTGGAGCTGAAGGAAGTGGAAGGATGTGTGATAGCAATGGGAAAAGAAAAGGAAGGACGCTGGGGGGTTGGAACTCAGGGCGTTGGATTGGTTTGGTTTGTGGGTTTTTTTGTGGTGAATGTGCTTCAGGCACCCCTTTACGATCGTTGTGGGAACTTATTGAGATGTATTTGTAATAATGTCTCCTTCTGTGTGTATGCTTTGTCCTGGTAAAGGGATTGGGCCCAGCACTCTGCTCTTCCCACCGGGCGCTGGCTTTCCTACCATGAAGCCCTTGTAGCAGGATCCTAACCCTGCCCTGGCACTGTGCCGGGCTCAGCGGGGGTTCCCGCAGTAATGCTGCCGGGACGTTTTCTCCTAGTTGTCACACATGCACGGAGCGCTAATAATTCATTGCAGGTTTTTGCCATCCCCAAAGCAAGGTCGGATTATAAATATCTAATCACAGTGCAGATATTTGCTATTAAAAAAATTAGTGGATTCATATAACATTTACAAGGGAGCGGGAAGGGATGTTGCACAGATTATCGAAGCAAGCTATATAGATAGCGGCTATTATTTAGTATTATTTAAGTTAATATCTTATTAATGAAGTAAACACATGGTATATTTTTTGCTGTATTTTTAAAATTTGTACTTTGAATGGCAGACCTGGAAGAATACTTTAGAGCGTGTTTAATTACGCCCAGACTAAGAGCTTAGAGCAAGAGGGAGACTTGCCTGGTTAATTTTTAAAGGGATGAGGTTTAGCAGTAATGAAAAATGAACAAAGGAAAAGGCCTTTATTTGTTGAGAAAATTTAGACAGTTTTCCATGTCTAACCTACAGAATAGTAAAAGTTTATTTCACCCTTATAAAAATGAGAATATGCAGCTGCAGTTTAGAAGAATTCTTTGATAATTTGGCCTTTGATTTGCATGTGACATCAGTCTTTGTTTGAGTGAGCACTGAATGTGCCCAACTGCCCGGTTAAGATGCTGCCCGTATCATTTCCCGTTAAGAATCTCTTGTAAGCACGGCTTCTTTTTATCTCAGTGTCATTGGTAAGCTGAAGTAAAGCTTTTTAATCACTGTGAAATGACCCAATAATTTATCTTCCTGAGCCCTGCAGTTAGGAGTCATGCACAGAATTCAGAATTATTTTTGCAGGTTGAAAAATGACCAGGGATTGATTTTCAAGAAAAATAGGCAAAAGTTTACCTTCTGTTTTGAGAACCATTTAAGAGGAGACAAGGAGTGGTGGAATTTCATGGCTTCCATACGTACAGAGAGGATTATAGTGCCATTTCTAACAGTGACCCAGCTGTTGGTTACATTGCAAAGCGTGAACCAGGAGACCACCACATATGGGAACAACTGAACACCAAGTGCAGGATGTCACTTGGAAGAAGAAAACATTTAACTCTCCATTATGTATGATTTGGGATGAAGAGATAAATGTTGGACTTCTTGTCTCCCGGCACGGCGACCTTCGTGTTTATGGGATATCCATTATCTGTGCTTCAAAGTCTGTGTCTTCTTGACCTGGTGTTGTACATCCTGTCAAATAACGTGTTTGGTATTTTGGTCAGCATGTGTTCTTCAGTTTACATGGTGTACCAATTAGCAAGGGAATGATTTAAAAAGTACATAGTCAAACTCCTGCAATAGATCTCAGAGCACTGAGGATCATTGCAAATAGATCATGGTGCGAGAGAGGACTAATGTGGTACACCAGCGCGTCTCTTGACGTTGGCTAACGTCAGTTTGTCCTCATTGTATTCTCTATTAATTCTTCTACTACAACAGCGCTCTCTTTGCAATTTCCCTCATCTTTGAAGAAAACACATAAGCAAAAATAGAATCTAAAATATTAAATATACAGTAATTTTCAAATATACATGCTGTTTTCCCCAGGGCAGAAAGATGGAGGAGAAGAGGGTTGTATGGGAAGGCTGCAAAGCATATTGCTTCATTCACCTGCTGGAAAGTGCACAGATACTAAATGATGATGCATTTATAAAAGCTATGACAGGATAGAATAGCATAGGTATCAAATTTTTATGTCTACTTTTAGAGGGAATTATAGATAAGTACATGCTTTTTAATGATTTTGTTCTTATTTTTGTTTTAGCTAGACTTTCTTGTGGAGTTGATGTGTTTCTTAGCTTGTATTTTTCTTCTTTTTTTCTCCCTCTGGGGATTTGTCCTGTTTTTTTCAAGGGTTCACACAATTCTAGCTTTCTTTTGCTCTTCTATTAAATAGAATAACGTCAAAGTCACTGCGCAGAAAGGGAAAGTGAACCTCCCACACTGATGAAAAATGCAGAGCACAAAAGGCCAGAAACTGGAAAGAAATACCAAATAAACACCTTTCCTATAAATACATTTGGGATATAGTCTCACCTCAGTAATGCTAATGGGAATTATGTGTATGAATCCCTCTGGCAGTGAGATGAAAATACACCTCAGTTGTGCATATAAAGACTTGATTTAGGGGCCTCTGAAGCTTCAGCGCAGAAAAACCCCCAACCAGATAAAGTAGTTACACCCGATTCCTTTACATTGACCCAATCTACCAGGTGCCGAACAGCCTTGAATTCCATTTGCGGGTTTGATCTTGCACCTGTGGAATTTCATTGCAGAGCTCTCGTGGGATTTAGCGATGCCTCTGAGATAGCGAGCATCAAGGCACGCCGAACCCCTTCACGCGTTTCTGAAAAATCGCTGGAACCAGTAGATAAGTAAGGGAGAAACATTCCTCCCTGCAGTTCCTTGCCGCAGTGGAGCGTTGTCACGCTGCTGACTCAGAAAGGTGGTCTGTGCTTTCGGAACTGAGGATGAGGGAGGATCTACTGCTTGGAACGACCCTTGTAGAGTGTTACAGGGCTATGTTTGCCTAGCCAAAATGACGTTTCAATTGCAATGGCACTGTGCAGTCTAGAGCTGCTTTTAATTTGAAACTGTTAGTAGTAAGTGAAATAGAAGTAAAAATACAGGGAAGGCAAGGCAAACAGTGTATCTGTGTATGAAGCAGGGTCACTAACTCATACCTAAGGCCGTGTTTTTGCATTTTTGCCACTTTTTTAAACTTCTAATTAATAAATCTTATCTCAGACCAGTATATTTACCTTTTAATTATGCCGTTACTGGATTCTTCAGAAAGTACCCTAGAATAACAGCATCTACCTCATCTAAGGGAGAAGGCTTTTCTTGTGGTTAAAACCTATTGCCACTTCACCTTTATAAACCTTTCTCTGTTGAATGAGTATTGATGACTTCTCTGAGTGCGTGCTCGGACAATATCGAGGTCTAATGAGATAAAAACTTGGATTTCTCGATCTTACGCATTTTGTTTTTTCTGTCATTCAACACTAATACTCTTTTGCAACCATTTTTCTTGCCTCGTATTTCCTGTATTTTTCTGCGTAGAGTCCGAAGTGTAGCAGAATTACCTAGAATGCATTCTCCTACCTAAACGTTTCATTGACACATCTTTTGCTGCCACTGCTGTGATCATTACTGAGTAGCCTGAGCAAGTCTTTTGGGATAGGGTGACATGCTGCAACAGAAAAAATACTGAGGAGTTGGTGGTCTCACAGCAATTTTAGCAAAGAATTGCTAGCTCTTTGTTCACTAGTCGGTCTCGGAAATGAACATTTTGTTCTGTTTCTCTCTTTCAAAATCTTATTTCTCCTGCTGCCCATTAAAAAAAAAATAAAATTCTAGACTAAATTTTCTAGTATGCACATTTCTTCTTTCATGCCTGCATCAAAAGCAATCCAAAGGACAAGGGTTGATTAACGGAGCATCCTCGGCCCAGCACACATTATCCAGAGAGAGGCAATACAATCTCAAAGCCAGGCAGAGGAGAAGGAGGGGAGGAGGCAATGCATGCTCACGTTATCCTCTTTGATAAGAGCTTTCAACCCACAATGGGCTTCCTCTCTGAAACAGTAACCTTAGAGTGTCCTTCACTGGTGCAGGGAAGAGTAGGGATGAAACTTCATGTTGTGGAGCCAGCTTCAGTCAGGAGTCCAAAAAAAGGAACTTTCTCACACGCTTGTGGGGCTGCATTCCTGTAAGGGTGTTCCTCAGAGTGCCAGGACAGACGGTTGGGGATGTGCTCATTTGTTCTCCCTCCTTTTACTTTAAGGATGGACTCACCCCGCTCCACTGTGCTGCAAGAAGTGGACATGACCAAGTTGTGGAGCTGCTCCTGGAACGAGGTGCCCCACTACTTGCACGGACCAAGGTGTGTGTCTTATTAGAATATCTTAACAGCTCTGTGTAACTTGCCACAGAATTTTCAGTGTCACTGGAAGGACAAGGAAGAAGATGGGAACATTTCTCTTCTCCCAAAGGAAATGTGTTAATGGGTAGAATGAGCCAAAATGAGGTTTTCTTACATAATTAGGGACTCTCCTTTCCAAATATATGAAACAGTATACACTTCTTTGCCGCTCTCCGTAATATCAGAATAAACACACGATATATAGTGCTGCTGCAAGCACTTTGCTTTTGTTGCTTCCTAAGGCCGTAGCACAGGGAGTTGGGAAAGCTGGGTCAGTCACTCCTGAGAGATGATCCCTGGTATATGTTTTCCGATCCTTCAGATAAGCCAACTGGGACCTGTGATTTGTAGCTTCTCTTGTTTTCATGGACTGTTTCAGACTGGGAAAATGATTTCAGTGTGTCCTTACGGATTTCTGAAAAGTGCATATCTAAGATCCATGTGTTTCCTACAAATGCTGTCCCTTTGGTCAAACTAACGAGAGGAGGATGCTCATAGTATAATAGCAAACTCCACTGAGCAGCGCTTCACATTGGTAAATTCCGGAGCGCCTGACAAAGGTAGCCGGTATCATTAGCTGGAAACAGTGGAATAGAGTGTTGCAACAATATGCTTGAGGTCCCCTGGAAGATCAGGAGGGACAAACAATTTAAATACCAGTTTCAGACCATTGCACTGTTTACTGGGCCCCACTCCCTCAAACGTGGCTCAAAACAAGGGCAATTAGTGTGTTCTGACCCATAGTTATCCTTATGGGAGACTCAAGATTTTCTTTTGATAGTCTTGAGGAGGTTTTATCACTGAGTTGCAAGCGTACCAACTACATCAAATAAGGATGCGCCTTCTTGATAGCACCAAGTATCCCAGGTCATCTCTTTATGCAGGAGGGATCCACAGGGAGATGGGAATTGTAGGGAA